GACGGGGACGTGTCATTGACAATGACTTGTCACAACTAGTTCCCTCAAATTCACAAATTACTCTCGTTCATAACACTTTACTTCCGAAGATTGGAGCAAAAATAGCAAAAAATTTGGAGTAAAAACTGAAAATTGATTGAAATTTGTTTCTGTTGGCTCCAAAATAAGGGTTAATTTCCAGAAATATTGAAGAATATAAAAAACAAGCAGCCTGTCGGCTGAGATAGCTCCGCTGTTAGCAATGCACATTGCAATTAAAAAACAGAAGATATCATTAGTAAATGAACAATATGTATAGTATGAAAGCAACAGGACTTGCTGTTTTCAACAAGAATTCAAAAATATTACTTTTCACCAAAAATAATCATCAAAATTAGATAATTGAAGACATCACCACAAAATTAACAAATCTGAGAGGTCCACATGTAGTACCTATATATGTAATATCAAAGCAATTGGACTTGTGGTTTTTAACAAGAAGTCAAAAATATCGCTTTTTACCAAAAATGACAAAAATATTCAGCAAAATTAGAGAATTGAAGATATGATCATGAAATGAACAAATCTGAGAGAGGTCTACCCAAGGTACATATACACCAAGTATCAAAGCATTCAGGCTTGTAGTTTTCAAGAAGTCGAAAAAGTAAAACATTGACACGGACGGCCACGGACGACGGATGACGACGGACAATCACTCATAAGCTCCGCTCGACAAAGTCGACAGTGGAGCTAAAAAGGGGGCAGAATAATTTGGACGAGAAAGTATGGTGGTGAAAAAAGTTAATTTATGCTGCTAGGAATTTTGGGGATTTGATTGCATTTGTGAAGACAATTTCAAGAAAGTTGCTGTTGTATGACCTCCAGAAAAAAATGTCACTGCACAGAATTTTGCACTGACTCAAAGAAATTTGTACTTGGTGAAAAGCAAAGTACAGTAATCAGTGTAGTAGACAGGAAATCAATATTCTATGTCAGGTCTTTGATGGATTCCTAGAAATAACATTTGAATTAATACTAATGCGAGAGAATAACCATGCAATTCAGTTGTAAAAAAATAACATTTGAATTAATACTAATGCGAGAGAATAACCATGCAATTCAGTTGTAAAAAAATTGTAATGTTAAATAGAGAAAATCAGTGATAGCCTTGTTTATATAGAAACATCCATCATACTGTTCACAGATTGCAAGTAACTTTTAATCTCATCGTGAATGAGATTGAATAACAAGTTATTTTTACCTTGTTGTGGCTATCAGATTTTACTACAGGAATTTGTAACATCTTCTTGTCACTGTTTTGATGCCAGAGAAAAAACTTTCAATATTTGTTAGAATTTACTTTTTTGTCTTGATTATGCAAATTTGTCATTTCTATTGAGTTGATGTTTTTAGTGTCTCGTTGTGTGCCTGTGCTGATCCCTTTCTTGTTGTAGAAATTGTAGAAAAAAATGTCCCACAACTTGTTAGAAGCACATCTCTAGTAAAAGCACACATGAATAAAAAATTTATTGTATGCTGAATCGTTACTATCGTTACTGTTATTTTGACAATAGAAAAACACCTGTGTACTAATAAAGCAAATACAAATGTCAATTAATTTGTTGTATTAAGATGAGCAATTATTATTCATTATGTTACTGAGATAACTGAACAATGATAATTTGAAACATTTCTGTATCATACATGCTTTTAAATCAATTACAGGTTGTGGAAGATGGGTATGAATTCTTTGCCAAACGACAGTTAGTCACCTTGTTCTCAGCACCCAATTACTGTGGTGAATTTGACAATGCAGGTGCCATGATGAGTGTGGATGAAACACTGATGTGTTCCTTCCAGGTAAGAATGTCTCTCTAATTAATGTATAAGCACTATATATGGTAACATAATACTGCTTTGATGGAATACTAGATTGATTTGTTTCCTAAACTCCCTTAAATTTGCCTCTATTATTTTTCATCTCGTACAATTCAGAGCTTTACTATTGCTTCCTTCCCAGAGGGCAGTATAAATCAAGTCCAACAAGTAATACGAAGTCTTAATAGATTACGCTCCCTAGGGTGACATTATATATTCCTTTGATTTAACATAATGGTCTCCCTGTTTTTACAGATTTTTTTTACCTAACCCTTTGATTGCCAAAGTCGTCTTTTGTCACCTTTGACAAAATAATAATTTAATAACACGTATAATTTTTTTTCTAAATGTTGTAGAACCTGCAGTCGATATGAAATTGTCTGTCTGGTCCACACTTCTGTTTTGCCCTGAAATTTTAGCAGCCAAATTATGGGGCTCAAAGGGTTAAATATGGACTGCACTTGCCAGTAAAAAAAGAACTAAATGTTTGATATTTTGCTGAGTGAAAGGTTCCATTAATTAAAAATCCATGGAAAACAAGACGTACATTTACCTCTTTTGTGTTTCTTTCGTTGCTATTTTTGATTAAAAAAATTGCCGAAATGCATAAAATTGAGGTTTCATAATTCAAAAAACAGTGTAGCTACCCCAAGTTGTTTTTGTTCAAAAAAAGCCAATCAAAAAGAACAATTTAGCAAAGTTGTCCTAAATGATTTTAATACAAAATAAAGAAGTCTTGATCAAGTTTGTTTTGTAATAGACATGTACTGAGAAGCTTGACAGGTTAGAAACTGTTTTTTTTAGCTCCACTGTCAATTTCGTCATATTACTGATTTGTTGTCAACCATGTCAACTTTTTACCTTTTCGGCATCTTAGAAACCACATATTTATGTATTGGTATCTTGGGTGGACCTTTTCTCAGATTTGTTCATTTTGTGATTATATCTTCAATTCTAAAATTGAAATGTGCAATGCTAACAGTGCAGCAAAAATATTTAAACTGCCACAATTATTTTTTCTTTATTAGTCCCAGTTTCATTAACACTTGGTGTATACATTGTACACTATTTAGTCCCCATTCGGACGAAGTCCGAAAACTGGGACTTATAATTCGGTCTCCATCTGTGCGTTCGTCTGTGCGTCTGTCCGGAGTCGTATCTCAGAATCCCTTGGACTGATTCCATTCATTCTTTGCATGTGTCTAGTACCTTATGTGGGATATATGCACATGCAGTGGTTTAGCGATTTGATTCAAAATGGCCGACTGGCAGCCATCTTGTTTTTTGAAAATGTTGTATTTTGGACATGCGTTGTCCGTTGTCATTCAAACTTGATACATAGATTATACATGTTAGGATACATGTCCATGACGATTTATTTCACAATTGGATCAAATATGGCCGACTGGCAGGCATCTTGTTTATTTTTTTATGTGGCATCTTGGACGTGCTCTGTCAGTTTTCATTCAAATTTGGCACATACATGTACTTTATGCATGTTAGGATGCATGTCCATGACAATTTGTTTCAAAATCTGGTCAAGGATGGCTGATTGACAGCCATCTGACTTTTTGGCCTTACTACTATATTTCCACAATTTATTTACCATTTTCATTCGTATTTTTATTTTTGGCCATATTACTTCTACTACACGGAACATGTGTTTTGATGTAAATAAACAATCTGTTGTATACGCCACTTGGAACTCAAGTTTCAAGGACACGCTCGCGACAACCCCTTCGCTTTAATACGACAAGCACAAAGAGAACTTTCAAAAATTTTACGGGCACTGTGTCATTTTCAATGACTTGTGGATTCATGTCTTGTGATATTCAGATTAGATGGATATTTGTTTTAATGAATGCTGTTGACTGACTGTTCATGCCCAAATTTCATGCATTTCCTAAACACGAGAACTTGCAGGGATTCTGTCATCCATTCAGTTGAATCAAGAATTGAACAGTTTAAATTATTCGAAACAAGTTCTCATTTTTTTTCTGTTTTGCTCAACAGATCTTAAAACCAGCAGATAAGAAGAAATTCCCATATGGTGGTCTGAATGCAGGACGCCCAGTCACTCCCCCACGTGGCCAAGGCAAAAACAAAGGGAAGAAATAAAAACTGTTTGCAAGAAGTACACAATACTGTAAATAGATATCTATATGAAGAAAAGATCACAAAACATCATTTAAACTATGAAATCCTGTTTTAAATGTTTTTTTTTTTTAAACAAGCCATAATACTGTGAGGAGTAAATAAAGTTATAGTGGCAATGCCATCACTGTGTGTGCCAATAAAAGGCATAAAAATGAATTTGTCCTTTGATTTAAATTTTCATGTTAACTCTTCTCACTATAACTGATAACTTCTCACATCAGGAAATGACCTTCTGTGGCTTGTGATTGGACACTGCAGAGTCACTCAAACCGGTTTAATTTCTTGGCGGCCGGATACTGAGGGTGTTTACATTTTTTTTTACATTTTACGGAGTGACTTTATATTGAATCAGATGTTTTCTTTGTCAGGCGATTTGCTCATTAATTTCAAATTATGTAGCCCTACCTGGATACTGGGTACTTCATTGTCGTTCTCTTCTACCAATGTACTGTGCAATGTCATGTAAGCTTAATCAGACATGTTTTTTTTTTTAATTTACACTCGTGCATCACGCTTGTGAAGTAGCATTGTGAAAATAACATTGAAACGTTAAAAGTTCATTTGTATTGGTTCTCCTATTCAAATTTCTTCTAAGCATATTTTAAACAAGATTTATTTCCAGCTTGAAGTAGTTGTGCAGGCTTAAGATGGAACTGAATTCACCTTAATTGGTTATAAGTTCCATCTACCTGCAGTCAACTGCCAACAATATGGTGTTACAACTTGCAAGATCAGACATGGTTACATTCATTGTATAGGGACTAATTCATAGTGTTTTTTTTTTACTTATTGTCATGTTTGCTCGATTCATGCAAAATTACGACTAAGTGGTGACAGAATTTGTTTCTTGTGTAGAGAAAAACCTAGTGGATGCATTAATTAACCTGTTAAATATATCCGCCATCTTTGTTGCACATGTAGTGTTATGAACAAGCAAATTCGATTAAAGAAAAACCTTCTCCTGTGAAAGCATGGATGCCTGTTTTTTTTAACCAAACACAAATATGGTGTGCATTCTATTGCAACAGTGTGTTCAGATTTTTCATGGTTCTTGCTTGTCCAATTGCTGGACCACACTCTTAATCAATGGTGGTATATTAAGGTTTTGATCTCTAACATGCAATTATTTCTTCAGCTTAGGAGTAAATGCCAAGAAATTGAGTTGAAATCTACTAATTGGGCAAACAAGAAACATTTAATCACTTTTGTATAATCGATTTAATGCATCTTTACTTAGCACTTTTGTGTAATGAAATGAAGACAACTTGGCACAGTTAGTTCAAAATATTGTATATAGTTGCCACTTCAAGTTCAGTGGAATGATTACCATTATCTACAGGGGCTTAGAATTCCCTGATGTAAATATATATGCATGGGTTTATTAAAGTCATCTGAATTTTTTTTGAATATGTAAAATGGACGTGTAAGCAAACTGGGTGTTCATTACTGGGTGTGATTAATGATATCGAGCCTTTGTAATTAGCCTTAAAGTTTGCCTGTATATACGTATCAGCTGTCAATTTGCGTATCTTGTAATGGTGTTCAAAGTTTTTTTTTTTGAATCTAGTTGTCGTATATTAACTGATCAGTGTATTTATTTGTCCCTGGGGGGGGGGGGGAATGCATATCCAGATGGTCTTATAAATTTGCCAGAACTATGAAATAAAGTTTTGTATAAAAAGCACTCTGGTCAAAATCCTAGTCTTGCATCATGGTTCGAGCAGTTTAACTGATTTTGTTAATGTTTATTTTGATTGCATTTCCAATGAGATTTATTCTCTATATACCATATGCATTTTTGAATAGAACACGCACTGCCATTGGGTTCGGATGAGAAAACAAGACAAGGTTTCATTACAATCCAAATTGGTATTGTCCATCCCAAGATAGGCATGTGATATTGATCAATTCTAATGTAAAATGCGTGAATTGTGCTTAATATTTTCATTGAAAAAAACTTTTCAAAGCTTGTGGTATTACTATAAATAATGAATTGGCCAACAATTGTAGTTTTAAAAAGCATTTTTGCAACTTTTTTCTCATTAGTACCCTGTTAGGATATAATTTGCTGGCAATTTTTGGTATCACCTGATAGGCGCAATATTAATGCTTTGTAAATGTACGAGAAGCAGTTTTTAAATTGTTACAGTGAACTACAGGCCCCATTGGGCAATTTTCAGTTTAGGAGTGTTTTACAGTGACTCCCTTTATAAGTGTCTTTTATTCTTTTCCTACAGAAAGTAATTTTGAGATGTTTACAAATCTCCCTCCCCCAATTGCTGTATGTATGGAGTGAGTGATTAAAGTCATAGAGTACTTTTGATATAGTAAAAATGAGTCTCGTCTTTGTGATTCTTTGTGTGCGTGCATGTTTGGTTACATTAAAACTTCAGTTCCCTCGATTACTGCATGCTGGTTGGTTTACTATTGTTAGCAGTCTGTCAGAGTACATCAAATTTTACAGAAACACAACTGTTGGCTTACAGAAATTCTTGCCAATGTAATTGAGGTATGCACTGAATAAGATTGGGAAATATACTGCAACAAAATTGATAGCTTGATGGTAGTGCATTTTTACAAATAAGTGTCTGTGATCAAGATGTGTACAAAAGTAAAGTCAGTCCTGGAATTTGCTCAGGAAGAATAATTTTGCAAACAAAATGGCCATCAGTTTGCCATTTTGAATCTTAGCAACTTTTTCTGCGTATTTCTTGCACAATAAACCAATGCTCAACTAATTGCTTAGAATTTGATTTATGATCTCCTGTATTTCAAGATGGAAGCTGGCATTTTGATTGAAAAGTAGTTTTCTGTTAAAAAAATGTATTAAATTCTCAACTTCAAGCATAAATAGCTGTAGCTTTCGTTTTGATAAAAAAAAATAATGTAAATTTATTCCAGCCATAGCTGAAATATGGACACTGAAAGCAATGCATATGATCTATATGCCAGCCAGCATCGTACATTAAAGATGACCATAGGGTTGCGTCAAATAACCATAGTTTTGTCAAGCAAACCTCAAGAATTAATTGCAGTCATGACAATATACTGGGGCCCCTTGGCGAAATGTCAATTACGATGCCATCTTGAGAAGCTTGGCCTATCTGACTGCCTCTCACTGGTGACTTCAGGCGTCATTTCCCACAATAGTTTGGGTCGTGCGACATTATTTCTTTCGTCACCGTGTCAACAAATGGGTGACTATTCGAACCTTAGTACAAACATCAAATTTTGCCTGATATTAGCCTATTTTTAGATCAATTTGCCCATGCAGTTGTCAAACAAGACTTGGTCAACTTTAAACTAAGATTTTCAAAATCGTAGCTATTGTCACTTTAATATCCTGAGTTGAGTAAAACATTTGTATGATCTATCCAAAACATTTTGTTGGGAACTAATTTTATTTTTTTTGTATGAGGTATTGAATACCGATACATCAATTTAGTTCTCTGTGAGATGATTACTACTCTGGTGTCGGGTGTCAAATTTGTCATGTCACATGGGTGTGTTCCACTTGTCTGACAAAGCCTGAATGAATTAAAAAAACAAGCAGCCTCTTGGCTGAGATAGCTCTGCTGTTAAGTAATGCTCATGAAATAAGCAAATCTGAGGGAGGTTGACCTGAAGTACCTTGCGGTTTTCAACAAGAAGTCAAAAATATAACTTTTTTTACCAAAAATATTCTGTAAAATTAGAGAATTGAAGACATAATCACAAAATGAACAATTCTGCGAGAGGTCAATCTGTATGATATCAAAGCAATCAGATTTGCAGTTTTCAAGAAGTCGAAAAAGTAAAAGGTTGATGTGGCCGTCGACGACCAACAATCAGTAGTATGATTAGCTCTGCTCAACGAAGTAGAAAGCGAAGCTAACAACAATTTTTGGAATGCCCTTGAAATGCATCTGTGTATCTTCACAAACAGTGCCAGTTGTAGCTGACACAAAACCATGTACCAGCTCCATGAATGAAGTGAAGATCTTGGTGGTAGTAGTCGTAGTGGTCGTAGTAGCAAAACCAAGTACCAGCTCCATGAATGAAGTGCAGATCTTGGTGGTAGTAGCAAATATTCTGAATTCTGTGCTTTATGTTACATACAGAAATTATTTACTCTCCAATTAATATGTTTCAGCATGAAAAATTAGTCCATCGCCACTTTACCGTCACGATGGCCTCTTTACAGCACAGCACGTCTACATCGTTTTGCGGAGTCTCAAAGCAGACATAAGCTCTGGTGGTGTGAATGAATAAGTCACTCAGGTAAACATTTGAAACAAAAAACCTTGACACAGCAGAAAAGCACACGAGGAGTACAGCTTATGTTGAAATTGTTTTTAATTAAAAAAAATACACAATTGACATCAGTTAAAAATAGACTTGCAAAGGACATGGATGAAAACAATACCCGCCGATGAGGTCAATATTTCCCTCAACTTAATAAATTACGCTTTCAGCAAATGTCAATTACCAGCTTTCCATAGTCATACATGTTCTATTTTCTGTTCTTGTAGTGTGCCCTTTACAAAAATCAACTGAAGGATAACCCCCAACTGATAATGTCATCACTGACAAATAAAGGAATAAAAAAAGTATGATTATATTTATTGACCACTTGCACTGTGAAAATAAAAGACACACTATTAGGGATAAAATAAAATAAGCTTTATCCCATCAAAGTATTAAATCTGAAAAATAATGCATAAAACAAGTTCCTTTATTGATCCACGGTAATCATATTTTTACTGCAAGACATTTCCTGTTTACTTCCACCAAGGACAGAAATTGAACATTATATTTGCACATGTACACATGGATCAGGTCTCATACTTAGGTAGTATTTACCATGTCACCATACAATCTGAACCATAATACTCTACTTGAGAACTAGTCTAAGCTCAAACCCAGCTGTCAAATGCAGGCAAGTACTGTAATGCTGGGGATTCTTTTAAAGAGAGGTTTCATGGAGGTCAGTTATGTACATAACATACTGACAAAGATGGAAATAAGACAATAACTTGTAAACATTAATGCACTATCTCCAGACATGTGCACATATTGTCACATGATATATTTTGATGATTCTTTTTTAGAAACAAAGTTTGTTTGTTTTTTCACCCTAGAATCATTTTCCACCAATAACAAAACAATTGTTATCATCTTCATCTTCATTTTCACTTTCACTTTCATTCTCGCTTTCTGATTCAACCTTTTCTTCTGTGAATGAAGAAAAAAAAGATTTCTTGATACCGATATTAATAATTCTTGGTAATATTAAAATACACCACTTCTTTGACTATCAGCCATGGGTGAAGTTAGACAACAGAGCAGGGTATCCTGCATTCGATCAAGCACACAGTATTCCATTCACCAGGTCACATGATATGCAAATAGCAGATCATGAATTATAATATTATTAGTTTAGGAAGTTTTTTTTTTCGTGGTCACTCTCCATATATGTAAACACTACACTACTTCGCATTTCTTGGCTAACAAGTAACCAGACATGAACTGAAAGTGTGCAGATTAAATAGGCTGATTCAAAACTGTTATAATGACCCTCTAAACAAAAGATTTGTTATTGGTTCAGGGATATTTATTGATATTATTGTAAATCAATAATTATTTTTTCTTGCATATTATACTACATATTATGAGATTTAACTGAAAAGTGATAGTATGCAAAATATGCTAATTAAATAGATACCTAGACTGCACAGACTATTATAAACTAATACCAGTTATTTAAATTATTACACATTTACATAAGTATGTAAATTAGCTAATCAATATGCAAACAATATTAGACAGTCATTTGAGGAAATTGTTGCAAAGATATCCAACAAACACGCTGAAACCAATTAATTATGCAAAGTGTTTAATTAAAATTTCAGTCATGAAACTGCACAAGGAGTACAATGTACCAAATTTCAAACCTGCTGAAAGTAGTAAATTAGTATGCAAATTAGCTAACTAATATGCACAGATTTAGAAGCTATTTTTAGATACTGATCTATAAGTTTTAGTGAATTTGTGCAAACAGATGCATGAATTATTATGCAAATTACCTAATTAATATGCAGATTTATGCCAAAATCTAATCAGGTCTGGTGTTCATATAGTATCTCTGTTCCAAGTTTTATTTCAATCCAGTTAGTGAACTCTTGAAATATCAGTGGAAGTGACGCGAAAGGTCAGACCGAAGTTTCATATTTTTCTTACATTAGTGATTCTCGTGGACCCACAGACATACATAAAACAGGTCCAGGTAACAATAAAACAGAAAGTATAAAATTCAGTTGCAGGTCAAACTAAATAGCAGCGGAAATAAATCTGGTGGAAGTAAGTAATAAGCGTTCGCTCGACTCGGCAATGCTACACACATGTACAAAATCAAAACATCGTGTCAGTACTATTTCGAAACTGTTATATTAATTTTGCCGTGATTTAGTTGACTGGTACAGTATTTGCTCCGATGTATCATATTTTCCAAGGCTTTTAAATACATAATCGGCGAAATATAATAACATAAGACCAGCTTTACTGTAAACATGGCAATGTGAACTATCCTAGAAAAATCATTATCATCTACCATCCTATAACCAGGGTTAAATCACGTTTGTTACAATTATATAATAATAATAGAAAAAATCTAATTTTGAAACTTATCTTGCCATATTGTTCCAATAGTTTTGAAACATTTTATTATGTACCTTTGTCTGACTTCTTCTTTTTTTTCGCAAGAAATTTCTGTTTCTTCCTTAATCTGAAATGAAAATAAAAGTATTATAGTAGAATTTTTTAACTTTCATTGTCATCTCTCATATTGTAATATGCCAGTCTGACTGCAGTCACATGGAATGATATGCTACCCAGTTCAGGCAAATCACACCGACATTCCACTTATTTGAAAGTCCTGGTACGGGTTCAAAAAATGCAATTCAAAAACTCAATTACACAATCAGGACATCCTTGTCAATACAGATGCAGAAAACCCTGAGAAAACCACAACAACTTGTGTTATGTGAGCAACTGATTGAATTGTACCTACCGGTACAACATATAACATATTAAATTGGAATAGACAAATCAAAAGCAATTAGATTGACGGCAGGGTTGGTAGATATTGTCAGAAATGCAAATTCTGATCTCCAAATACTAGAACTAATGATATATTGTATGCATGGAAAAGTAGACGACATCCAAAACATCTTTTCAATACCCATATTGAAAAACAGAATAAATATAGTAGGAAGTAAAGAAGTGAAATAATGGTATCACCCACCAGGTGCACAACAGTTTGGGGGTTTCTGGGTAATTAAAAAAAAAGTCGAAAATAGCTTATTTTTTTGGCCAAAAATTACAAAAATATTCATAAACAAGACATGAATGTCACAGTCCCGTCATTTAATTATAAAATACTCATGTTAAAATAATACATGGAACATCTGCAAACAATTGAATTAATATGTACTCTATATGGGTAAAACTCATCATAAAGTGATTTCTCTTAATCTAGTATTGTACTGATAACTTCCATTGACCCGGGTCCAAAATCTCAAAGTACACAAGTGCAACCAAACAATGTCTCATACATGCTAAAGAAACTGCATTCATAAATCTGAGTAAACCTTTATGTATCTTTAATAACAACTTGACTTCTTTGTTAATTCAGGTCTTTGTATATTACCAGGACCTGGGTTTGTTTCAGTATCACCACTATAGTTTCCACTGAGATTCGTAATGGTATGACCCATTTATCCATGACCCAGGCAACTGAAGCTATATTTAGACGACATTTGTCAATGTGCCTGGCCAAGATTTATAAACAGTAACTGCAAAGTGTTTTCACTGATCTTCAACTTTGTGACCCAGTATTTCAGTGATGGCTCTTAATAATGGAATGCAATTTTTACAGTTTAAAGATATAATATACAGCAACATTTCTGACCATTTTTAAAAAAAATTTTGTTTTCATATAAAACCAAACAAAAACCAGACTGTGGTCCATTTCTGTCACTGATTCAGATCAAGGTCATGACGTCACTGAAAACCCTAGCATTTCCATCTAACCTACTTATTTATTCTGAGCATGCTCAGTTGTTCTCTCAGTGTTGTTGGGAGAAGTAATTTAAGATGAAAATCGTGAAAAAGACCCACTTAGGATAGTCAAAAAAAAATTATGTGCATATTCAACAGAGACTTGTTCATCAACCTGCCAAGTTTCATCGATATCTGCTGCAGAATTTCTGAGAAAATGTTAGAGGCGTCACAGACGGAAACTGGAAATAAAAAACTATACTGCGCCTGAAACAGGGACTAAAAATAAAGAATTGAAAATATCATTACTAAATGAACAAATCTGACAAAGGTCCACTAGTGGTACCTACAAAGTATTAAAGCAATTGGACTGGTAGTTTTCTTGAAAAAAAGATGATTTTTTAACATTGAAATGATTGACATTCAGGCATCTTGTATCTGATCGTCAAACAAGTACATTTAAACAAAATGGCCATCTATAACATGATGTATAATGAATACCGTATATAAAATTTGAACATTATCAGTCAAATCATGTCAGAGATATGGCTCAAGAACCGCATTTATTAAAACATTTTTCAGCCATTTGGAATCTGATTTGAAAAATAAAATGACATGCATCATTTGGCCATTTTGAATCAGAATTAGTACAACTAGTTGCATCAACATCTATTGTCAGTGGCGGGTCATATCGACTTAGAGATCACACACAGGGTCATTTATGAATACTGCTGTCTTATGCACACACTCAAGATTTTCTCATTGTTCTTCTTTACCTACCTATTGATATCATTGATTACCCATAATGCAACTGATTGGACATTTGTTTCTTTGGAACAAAAGTACATGACATACTGTAAAACATGTCATTATAGTAAGCATGTTAATTTGCCTAATTTAGCAAAATCTGTAATTTCGCTAATTCAAGATGTAGCTAATTTAACAGAAAGTATATTTTCATAATGTTAATTCATGCATTGAGTACAATTTGCTAAAATTATACGCAGCTATTTCAACATATTTTACAGTACTCCATTAATTTCACGTCAAATCTTTTTACCTCTTAGCTCTTTTCTTGGCAGTTTTATCCTCACACTGTGCTTTGTTTTCTTCTATTTTTTTGTGATAATCTTCATTTTCAGTTTGCTGCATGTGATAAGACATGAATATTGGTAATGACGTACCATAAATGCTCTACCAGTAGCACATGCATTGACGTAACAGAGGTGTGTTTATAGTCAAAATATCGTAAAAACTCATCTACTCACTTTCACCTACTAGAAAAATTCAACGACCTAATTATTTGGTGAGTTTTCGTAATTTATTGACCTCCAAAATTTCAACCTCACCCGAAATTGCTCACTTATTTTAACCCCAACAAATTGTTTAGAGACGCAACTTTCTATGTTGACGCAGGAATGTGTGTGTAATTTTGTTTGACTTTTAATTTGCGATACAACTGTATGTAACCCAACTTTTATATTTATTGAATCGTTTTTCAAAAAAATTTATTTAAAAGTGGTCGTAATTTTAGAGTTTTCACGGTAAGGCCAAAAAAAGCTTCTGTCTCTCATCATTTTGTGCATCGATTTGAAGCCTGAGACTCATATTTTTTCTTTTTATAATTTTGGTGCCAGTGACAAGTGTCATGGTAGAATGGAGAAATAATTGTTTCTGGTGTACGAGAATGTTTGATTGCTCTAAATCAACCTTTAACAAATTTATTGAAGACAAATTATTTAATAATTGTTAAACGATGAACAAAAGAAGATAATTGTTTTGGGTCCTGTATACAATAAATGCAAATTTTAGTTTAGGTATGCTTTTAATACCATATAAGTGTTTCACCAGACCTGGTTGATACAAAGAGAACATTTAAGAACGACAATCACCTTATAAATATTGTTATCTTGTGTTTTTAGTTGTTAAACTACTGAAACCGCATCAGAATTTGGGATATCAATTAATGTCATAAAATCTTATCACAATTTCAGAAAGAAATCAGACAAAGAAATCGAACATGATGTCAACGTGTAAACTAGTGAAGTATTACCCACATTTTTAGCTTGCGTTTCAATCCAGGTCTGTCTGGCATTTTCTCTTCTTCTTATTCCTCTATACACATGGAATTCACCACTACCTGCTCCAGCACTGGAACCTAACAAAAAATGTGTCTTTTTTACACTTATGCATGTATGGAGGATGCACAACACACACTCAAGCTAATTTAAGGTAGCAAGATAGTTTATTGGCAAGGGAAATGCGGACCTACAAATTGAAAGAAGGGCGTACGTGAAACCATCAAACCTATATATACTCAGGTAGAACCTGGTTTAAAGTTTCGATTAATATTATTTTTTTCAATATTGTGTTTGTTATATGGTCACATGACCTCCAAAATCAATAAGACTGGTAAGTTTGTAAAGTGGATAAAATTGAAAATGGAGGCACCACTATGATGACAGTGACTCAGAAAGTCACGTTATCGTTATCGTGGAAAGGAGGTCATGAAATTCTATTTTTTCCTTTGTTTAATTTATTTTTCCTGAACAAAAGATTCATATTTCCAACATTTTGCGATTTTATAAGTATGCAGTCTGTTTTTGCACAACAACAGTGAAAAAGTGCCACATGATTCAGTCAAAATTAAAATACGGAAACGAAGCTTACGTCTTATAGAACCCATGTCTCCAAACGTGAATTGCCTTATTTTAGTTTGTTTGAATTATTACGGTACTACTATTATTACTATAAAACCATTTATCTTCACTGGCATTTAATTTTACTATTTATTTTTGTATGTTTTGCTCACTTTCACTGCGTTTAACTTGGGGAACAATGAGTCCTTTGTTATTCTACATTTGAATTAAATTTAGCGAATTTTACTTATCTGCGAAAATAGCAAAATTAAAAACCAGTGAATATGAATAAATGTGCCTACAGTACTATGCAGTAATGTCTATGTAATTAATCTAGAAATATAGCATAACATTTGGTTACTGAATCAGAGCTGATGGATGGACCACATCTGAGTATTACTCTATCATAAAGAGGTTTATCGTGGTCTCAGTTTTCCATGTATGAATAGTATAATCTGTAATCCATATAGCAGGTCAGACATCACCTACGATCCATAATATTTGTTAAAATCTGCTCAAATGGTTAAAATCCCATATTAAGCAACTTAAACTTCTGGGGTTCAAAATAAGGTAGAAATAGGTCAATGAGTTTTAGTGTCGTTTCAGATTTTTGCATATAATTATTATTTTTTGTTGTTATTTATTATTTATTAGTACAGACAATTATTAAAATCATTTTGTACAGCACACTGTGGTTAGACACCATTTTATAAATCCCTAATTTCTCATTTTATTTTTTCTGCTTAAAGGCCCAATTCATAAGTGTTTATTGGAGGTGTGGCTATGCTAATGAGTCCTGTTAATCACTTGCATAGCCTATGTTTACAGAAATTCATAGTTTATTTACAAGCTGATAGCACTAATACCCATAAGCATCAAAGTATATAACGGGACAGTCTGACTTGCTTCCATAGAGCACAGACCTGACCTGCATAGGCATTCTGTAATGACAAGCTAATATGAAACGTGTTACAAAGTGATGTGGCATTGACCATTTCTTTGAATTACGTTTATTTCAACAACAGCGTTCATCTGAGATGCAGAATGACGTATCATATTCTATTGCCACTCTCGTATTGTTGAACTACGATGCCACAGCGATGACCAAGATGCATGTATGTTTAGGATGCTGTCATGCTCGCTACGGTCAACAATAAAAAAAAAATATTCACTGCATGGCGTTCACACTATAACCCGCATAAATGCTGCTACTGGAATGTGGCAATAGTAAAGATAATAAATTTGAGATGATGCATCACTGCGTGCAAAAACCTGATGACCGACCACAGTCACTTGTATCACAAAATAAAACTGCTATATGCCGACTAGGGTACATTTCCTAATGTGCATGAGGCAGGTTAGACGAGGAAAGTTGGGACTTGTATTATCCGAAACACGCTCTTTATCACCAAGTAACAGTAACAGTAAACAATACTAAACACAGTATTCATTTCATTAAAACACACTAGGGATATTTCTGGTTCGTACTCTTAATGGCGACTTTTTAAACTTGCGAACGCGATTTTCATTGTCCTCGTTGAATCCGCTATGTGATAATGAGAAAAGCACTAGGAACTGTGTAAATGTTTTTGGAGATTAGACTCCAACCTGTTTCAGCGACCCAACATCACGTGACATTGATTGACTTTCAAGGAAACAATCCCTATTGTTTTGAAGCGTATTTATAGTATATCTTGGCCTTTAAATCTTATAACATACAGTAAACAGGTCATTGTAAAAGACATGTTCTCATCAATAATTTAAGTGCCTCGCCATTTTGGAATCATATCACTATGATTGAAAGTTTGACCTAGAAAAACAGTGGAACTGAGTGAAAAAACAATATGGCCAACAGACAGCCATTTCAAAAAAATAGTAAGTTTGACTGAAATTGGTTCAGTCATCGCTTGGAACTTGCTGCAGACAAATTCCAGCATTGGGATCAAGCTATTATACATTCAAAATGGCCACCAGTCGCCCATTTTATGTTGAATCGAAAACAAAAATGACAGGAATAAGTATGATATCATGAATTGTATTTGAACTCACAGACAAATGAACATTGAATCAATAATTTTTAGATTTTGGAAAAGGAACTAAAAGTGATTGGCTGCTAAAATTCAGGTACGGCTGGTTCATCAGAAGCGAATATAAACTGTACAATAAAAGCAGCTATGTGATAGGTTGATTTATAAACAGTTTAGAAATACTTTTTAATTCTGGATTAAAAATGTACAGGTAAGATAAATACCAGGCATCATTTGACAGTCAGTGACAGCGATAGAGGTTAGTCCTATACTTTTGATAATTACTTCTTGTTACCAAAAAATGTAAAAAACTTCTTTTATGTGTTAAGGCAAACAACACTTTGTCAAATCATATGGTGCAATTCAGCTATAATCTGCATTTGCTGAAAATAGTACTCATCCAGGGAAAAGCTAGTTATTTATAAAAAGTGGAACATGATCTAAATAATGTGACTACCGGGGTACTCATTTTTTAATAAATTAGTTATTTAATTTATTTTATGATATTACATATATTTGGGGGTCAAAGACAGCGTTTCTTATAATTGATTACCAGACAGGTACCAGGTGACTTTCAACTTTAACCCTTCTCAGGGTTAGAGTTCAACCTTTTCAATGCCAGATATTCTCCCCCAAATTTTTCTGCATTTTTTTAGTATAATCTTCTAAATTTCGAGAAATGAACCCAAATTTTGGAGCTAACAGACAAAATTTGAGTCAATTTTCAGTTTTTAAAAAAATTTGGCTATTTTTCTTCGGAAGGAAAGTGCAGACTATAAACAGGACTATTTTGTGATGAAAAGATTGAACTGGTGGTACAAAGACTAAAGCATCAGCTACCGTAGAGTTTGCAAATGTTACCACATTACCAATATGCTGATGACAAGCATGTTTTCCCACCCTTGTTTTTGTTCCGTTGTACATACCGGGGGAGGGGGGTATTATTTTTTTTAATTATGTTTCTGTACTACTTTGTCAGGGGCTCAATCTCTCAAGTAACATTCTGCAGACACACAAAATGCGTGATTCAAATTTCCCATATCAATTGATTAGTAAGTCCTTTGTTTCACAATCTTTGTATCAATCATTGAAGGTCGAGTGCGTTTGAGTTGAACTACATCCAGTAATATTATTTACCAAAAGTTTTTAAGAATTTTAATTGAATCATACCATAAGTTATCACACCATCAAGTTTAATTTTTCTCCAGCATGACTGGAACGTTGTGCAACTTGGGCGTACAAGCTGACACCATGAAATATTCCATGAAAATGTCAGTTATGGAACTATATTCCATTCATTTCAGAGCAAATTTTAATCAATTCTAGGAAAAATGCGTAAAATATTTTTTTTTTTGAAAGGAAATTAGTTTGCATGACTATTATTCACTATTATTATTGACTATTATTATTATTATTATTGAGGACGGCAGCAGCAATAACATTTTATGATTAACGCTTCCAGGAAAATCAGTCAGACTTCCTTGTTATTTCTTACCCATGACATGTCTGACAAACTCAGGAGCATCTTTCGGTTTCCAGTCCTTAGGTTTATCAGGAATCCTCACCAGTTTATCCTGAAAAGCCAACTGCAAAACAAGATAATAATGTTGAAATGGATAGTATTAGACAATTAGATTTTAATGAATGGTTTCAAATAAAATTGGCGAATTAATGTTATTGCTTTCACAGTATTCACCACAATACATACGTTGACCAGTGTTAAATTGAACAACTGTTAACAAAAGAGTTTTTTGTATTAATGACAAACGAACACAATTGAAAACAGGAAGTGATATTTCATACTAGTAAATCATACTATATCCCTCTCACAATCTGACCTATACTAGGGTCAAGAAATATCAACACAATAGCATTGTACAGAGAAGCTTGAGAAGGAAGTGAAATATGGAGGCTGCAAAACAGTTGTCTGAACGACCTCCACCAGAGACTATAAAAGACCAGAAGAAACCAATTCCAGACAAGTCAGACAACTTAAAGCAGGACAATAACATCAATATGGAAAATACTGAAAAACAAGGCATGCAAATTAAAACTGATCAGGTTGGTAAATTTGGATTTTTGCAAAATTACAAATGTTCATGTCTTGTGTTTCAGCACTTAAAGTGCCTGTGAAATGGCTGCTATTTTCACGCCTAAAATTATCAATTGATACAGAAATATTATTAATTTTTATGTTTCTAAGCATGAATTATTTTTTTTAAGTGAAAAAATGTGTTTTAAACTCAGTCTACGGCAACTTTATTTTTGTGTATTTTAAAATGAGGCTCCTCATTA